ATATATACATATATATATATAAATTTAGCCTTAGCTGAAAACAAACCAGAGAAAGAATCTGAAATATTTGGCCTCAGTGGAGGAAGGCAGGCTCTGCTTCCATCTGAAACTCAGGAAATAGGCAATTCCCACACACTGGGAAGATGTTGACACTGAATAACTAAAAAAGAATGACAAATGTTCACCCAAGATATATAAGCTAGAGTACAGTGCAGCATGAGAAATCCATAAATAAAGAGTAGGGAAGAATGAGATGAATTACTTCTAGGTAGGAGTCAGGAAGTACAATCGAATTAGGTTTTATGGAACTCTATAAAATTGGCTAGGATTTGGGATAGAATTGGGAAAAGACAACTTTGTCATCAGTATTAAAAACATGGCTAAATGCTATTAACAGAAAGTTAAATTTGGGAGGTGCAGGAAATAAATTAGATGTAATAAAAAAAAATGTGGTTTAGCTCAGTGGCACTGCACCTTTCTCACAAGTGCAAGGTCCTGAGTTCCATCACCAGTACAAAAAAAAAAAAAAGAAAGAAAGAAAAGAAAATGAAAGAAAGAAAGAAAATGTGAAAATGTGTTAAAGCCCAGATATTTCTGCAATGGGGGACTCCAACACACAGTCTTTGTTAGAGTCTCTGTTGGGTTGGTAAGAGACTGTCAGATTAAGCTCAGACCCCATAAATTTTAAAACATGGTAAAATAGAATAAGGTCAAGGCTGGCCATGGTGGCACATACTTGTAATCCCACCACTTGGGTGGCTGAGGCAGGAGGATCACTTCAAGTTCAAGACCAGTCTGGGCTATGTAATGAGACCTTGTCTCAAACACACACACACACACACACACACACACACACACACACACACATGAAAGACTCGGGCTTCTTACTGGCTGTCAGCTGGAAAGTGCCCTTGGCCATCATGGTGATGTGGACTTTATCAAAGGCCCTTTCTGTTTACTTCTTCAATGGCAGCAAGGAGACTCTCCTAGTGAGGGCAGGAAAGGTGGAGTCATGTAGAAATGGGTATGGATACCCATAAATAAGGGGATGGCAACCATCACCTTTGGCATATTCTATTGGTGAGTAAGTAACAGGTTTTACTGTACTCAGGAAGAAAGATCAAGCTGGACATCTCAGTACTCTGGGAAGCTCAGGCAGGAAGATCACAAATTCAAACCCAACCTGGGCAACTTCCCAAGAACCTTTCTCCAAAATAAAAACTACAAAAAGGTCTGGGAATGTAATGCAGTGCAAAGGCCCTGGATTCAACCCCTAGTACCAGAGTGGGGAACATGTATCAAGAAAGAAGAGGCCTTTATAGCGGCACAGTTTGTAAGAGCTAAAACTTGGAAACAGTCCATGTGCCCATCAGTTGGAGACTGGATAAAAAAGATGTGGTTTTTCTATAAAATGGAATACTACTCAGCCATAAAGAATGAGAAATTAGATTCATTCATGGGAAAATGGATACATACTGAGGATATACTCCTAAGTGAAATGAATAAATCACATGTGTAAATACTGAATAGTTTCTCTGGTGTGAAAAACTATAGTAGTACATAAGATCCTAATGAGGACAATGTGAAATAGGAAGAAAAGGGCTAAAGGTGTAGGGAAAGTGGGAAGGGTAGGGGAAAGGAAATAAGGGAAAAGAAAAAATATGAGAAAATGAAAAAATGGAAATAAAGTGTTTGAAAAGGGGGGGTGAAGGCAGGGCATGGACAAGGGGAAAAATGAGAACCAAGAACTGTCATGTAGAGGTACAAGATCCCAGTAATGAATGTAGCTGGGCATGGTGGTGCACACCTGTAATCCCAGCACTTGGGAGGCTGAGGCAGGAGGATGGCTGTGAGTTCAAGACCAGCCTGGGCTACTTAGTGAGTTCCAGGTCAGTCTCAACTACATAGTGAGAACCTGTCCCAAAAAAACAAAAAACAAACAAACCAATAATGCACGTAACTGTACTGTATACCTAAAATGTACCGATAAACTCAATTAAAAAAGAAAAGAAGAAGAAGAGGGCTAGGGATTTAGCTCAGTGGTTCCACTGCCTGCCTCATGAGCACAACGTCCTGAGTTTGATCCCCCATACCAAAAAAAAAAAAAGAGAGAGAGAGAGAGGAGAGGGGGGCCTACATTAAAAGTTTACCTTAGGGCATGCCAGCCTCAAAGATTAGTTTTGGCAGCAATGTACCATGTAAATTAGGTGTGAAATACAAAACAAGGAGACATGTGAGACACCATTGTGCTTATTTTTGTCGTTTTAACCAAAAATGTGTAGTTGTCATCACAACAGAATCATATGTAGAATCTATAAAGTCAGGATTTTCATAATTCTACAGGCATTAAAAAATGTCAGGCCAGGGATTTAGCTCAGTGGCACTGTGACTGCCTTGCAAGTACAAGGTCCTGCATTCAATTCCAGATACAAAAAAAAAAAAAAAAAAAAAAGTAAATATTTTGTCTTTAGAACTTAGTAGCAAATTACCCTGCCACACACCAGCACCTTCTCAACTTAATTTCCAAGTTTTTCCAAAAGGCAAAGAGACTTATTCCTCCATTTACATTTCAAAAAAACGGAGATGACCACATGGCCTAGTG